GTCTCCAACAAAAGGAAGGAAAAATCAAAAGGGGGGAATATCAAATAATATCAGGAATGAAAAGCAAGAACACCACTACAGTCTCAGCAGGTAAAGAATAGCACGCAGAAAGGAGAACAAACCCCCTCCCACGGGGACGCTAAACCCCCTCCCACGGGGGCACTAAACCCCCTCCCACGGGGCACTAAACCCCCTCCCACGGGGGGCACTAAACCCCCTCCCACGGGGCACTAAACCCCCTCCCACGGGGACACTAAACCCCCTCCCACGGGGGGCGCTAAACCCCCTCCCACGGGGCACTAAACCCCCTCCCACGGGGGGCACTAAACCCCCTCCCACGGGGACACTAAACCCCCTCCCACGGGGCACTAAACCCCCTCCCACGGGGGGCACTAAACCCCCTCCCATGGGGACACTAAACCCCCTCCCACGGGGACACTATACTCCCTCCCACGGGGCACTAAACCCTCTCCCACGGGGGCACTAAACCCCCTCCCACGGGGCACTAAACCCCCTCCCACGGGGGCACTAAACCCCCTCCCACGGGGGCACTAAACCCCCTCCCACGGTGGGTACTAAACCCTCTCCCACGGGGGCACTAAACACCCTCCCACGGGGCACTAAACCCCCTCCCACGGGGGCACTAAACCCCCTCCCCACGGGGGGCACTAAACACCCTCCCCACGGGGACACTAAACCCCCTCCCCGGGGGGGCACTAAACCCCCTCCCACGGGGGGCACTAAACCCCCTCCCACGGGGCACTAAACCCCCTCCCACGGGGGGCGCTAAACCCCCTCCCACGGGGCGCGCTAAACCCCCTCCCACGGGGGGCGCTAAACCCCCTCCCACGGGGGGCACTAAACCCCCTCCCACGGGGGGCACTAAACCCCCTCCCACGGGGCACTAAACCCCCTCCCACGGGGGCACTAAACCCCCTCCCACGGGGCACTAAACCCCCTCCCACGGGGCACTAAACCCAGCCAACTCTTTCAAGCATGGTTCAACAATATTTTACCTGTGTTACATTCTTTTAGTGGGTGGAGAGGAGGAAGCTTTCCTCCTAGCTGTCTCTGTGAGGCCAGAGTTACCTCGGGCCAACAATAAACATATTTGAAGATTAATACCCTTCATGAAAGAGCCATTAGCATTTTAGGAAATCCCAACTAAGCCATGGAAAAAGGATGACTAAGGCGGGTTGAAAGAGAATGGCCCCCATAAGCTCATACGTTTGAATGCTTAGTCTCCAGTTGGGGAACTGTATTGATGTTTAATAAGGATCAGGAGAAACAAATAAGCCAAATAGATGTTTATTCAGGGAGAAATAACTTATAATATAGACAGATGAACACCAGCAGGTTCCTGGTCCCAAGGATGCCTCCGGATGCTCTCCTGTGCCTGTGCTGCAAGCAAGACAGCTCCCCAAGCCCCCTCCTCAGCCTTAGTTCCCCCAGGTCAGGTCTGGCCTTGTCTCCACCCCCAATGGGCGTGGTCTGCCATAGGTACAGACAAAATGAATATCTCACTACAGAACTGTTTAGGGAAGATGAGGAGGTGTGGTCTTATTGGAGAAGGTGTGCCATTGGGAATGGGCTTTGAGGTTTCAAAAATCCACAACAGGCCAGTGTTGCACTGTATCTGTCTGCTGCCTGGTGATCAGGATGTAAGCTCTTAGCTGCACCATGTCTGCCTGATACTGTACTTCCCACCATGATGGTGATGGAATAAATAAACCCCCTGAAACTGTACACAAGCTCCCAATGAAATACTTTAAAAGCTGCCTTGGTCATGGTGTTTTGTCATAGCAATAGAACGATAACGAAAATGATGACTTACCATTGCCAATGAGGTTTGTGCCAGGAATGCATTTGTGGGTTGGTCTAATGCCCAGAAAGCAAACGGTGCAACTCAATAGTGTGACCAGCTGTGGTGTTAACTCAGAGCTGTGGGGAGACTGACAACACTTAATACCCTCTACTAAATCATTCTGCGGCCGGGCTGTGGCGGAGCATGCCTTTAAACCCAGCACTTAGGAGGCAGAGAAAGTTGGATATTTGTGAGTTCAAGGCCAGCCTGGTCTACAAAGTGAGTTCCAGGACAGCTAAGGCTATTACACCACAGAGAAACTCTATCAAAAAATCAAAGGAAAAAACAACAAAATAAAAAACGCAATGGTGTATCTAGAAATGATTAAGAAACTACAAAAAGAATTCAGCAAGGTTTCAGGGTAGAAAAAGTCAATTGTATTTTCTAGTGAAAAAGGAACTGGAAAGTAAAAATTTAAAGATATCATTGATAATAGCTTCTGCTGTAGTTTTTCTTGTCCCACCAGGTCCCACTGCCCTTCAGCCCCAAACAAACACATGGACTATATTAGTTATAAAACTGTTGGCCGATGGCTAGGGCTTCTTATTGGCTAGCTCTGCCATCATTTTAACCCTTTTCTGTTAATCTATGTATTGCCACAAGGCTGGGGCTTACCCATAGTTTGGCATGTTACTCCTTCAGCTCCATCTCAGCTCTTCTCAGTTTCTCTCTGCCTCCCTTTCTCAGAATTCTCTTCGTCTCCTAGTCCTGCCTATCTTCCTGCCTCTATTGGCTATTGGCCAATAAAAGAAACATATACACAGGAGGACATCCCCCCATCAGATAACATGTAACAAACACAAAATACTTGGGAATACATATGCAAATGATGTAGCTTAAAGCAGAGAAAACTAGAAAGCAAGGGTTGGCCTATTTTTCTGTGAAGTGCCAGTTAATTATGCTGATGAAATATGGGCTCTGGTGAGCATTCTCCTCTATTTTTCTCTTTTTCTTCTTTCTACAAAGGTATTACATCACAATCACTTAAAGGATGCTGGCATACAGAGATGGGCTGTGGGAGTGGATATGTAGCTGAGTGGTAGAGTAGCTGAGTGGTAGGTAGATCAGTTGTCTAGCCTGAAGTTCATCCCCAACAACATAAAAACCAAAACCCAACAGCAACACGCAGTCTGTGGAGGGGATTTGCCCCATGGGCCATGTGGTGGTTTGAGTACAAATGGCCCCCTTAGGCTCATAGGCCACTACTAGGAGGTGTGGCCTTGGAGGAAGAGTGTCTCTGGGAGTGAGTTCCTGCCTCTGGAGGGGAGACAGCAGGACATGGGTGCTCTGGAAGAGGAAGTGTGAAGATGGGTGTGGGGTTGAGGAAAGACAGTGAAGCAGAGGGAGAGGAGGGAAACAAATAACACGGTTTGAGAAAGCCATAGGGAATATTACTTTGTGTTTACCTAAACTTATATGGAATATGTAGGTGTATGAGTAGACATATGTATAGTGCTTAAAGGAAGTTACTATGTAGGCGACACTGCTCCTCTCCAATAGCACGGACTATGTAACAAAACCCCACCACCAGGCATGGGAAGCTCCCTTCTGAGTTGTTGGTCAGATGGAGTCCAAGTAACTCCCCAAACAGACTTTTGCTGTTGCCACTGGTTGCCTCCAAGAATTTGAAGGTGAGTCCCTATTGCTGAAGACACCATGCACTATGGACACAGGACTTGGAGGAATCAACCTCCATCTGACCCAGAAGCATACTCTCCCACGCTGAGGTGATGATCTTTCCACTTTAGACAGAATCTACAAGTAAAAGGTGTGCTCGTTTGTTTGTTCAAGAGGGGAGGCAGGTAACACAAAGCAGACGGAGTAGCCAAGAGTCTGTGTCTGGGAGACCTTTTCCTTAATTTCTGAGCAATTTCATCTCTGATGTGTTGTATGTCACATCAAGCTGAGACTACCCATGTTATCCGTCTTCGGGGTATTTGGAGAAATTGATGACGGCAGCATTGGCTTGTTTGTTTGTTTCTTACTCTTTGCTCTTTGAGGGGGGCCTGTCACCCAGCTCCCGAATAAATACACAGAGTCTTATTCTCACTTACGAATGCTCAGCCTTAGCTTGGCTTGTTTCTAGCCAGCTTTTCTTAAATTACCCATCTACCTCTTACCTCTGGCTTTTGCCTTTCTCTAGTCTACTTACCTTTCTTTGCTTCTTACTCCGTGGCTCGCTGTGTAGCTGGCTCCTGACATCCTCCTCCCCTTCTTTCGTTCCTTGGTCTTCTTCCCAGATTTCTCCTCCCATTTATTTTCTTTGCCTGCCAGCCCTGCCTATCCTTTCTCCTGCCTTGCTATTGGCTGTTCAGCTCTTTATTAGACCAGTCAAATTAGACAGGCAAAGTCACAGTTTTACAGTTAAACAAAGGCAATATAAAAGAATGCAACACATCTTTAACTAATATTCTACAATAGTAGGGCAAGAACTAACACCTGAGCTTGGGCTCTAGCCTCTGGCCTCCCTGGGTGTGGTGTGGGTGTGGTGTATGTGTGTATTGATGTGTGTGATGTATGTGTGGTGTGTGTACGGGTGTGTTGTGTGTAGTGTGTGTGTGGTGTGTGTATGTGGTGTATTGTGTGGCATTGTATGCGGTGTATGTGTGTAGTATGTGTGTGGTGGGTGTGTGTGATGTCTGTGTGTGTGTGTGATGTCTGTGTGTGTGTGTGGTGTGTGTATGTGGTGTATGTGTATGGTGTGTGTGTGTGATGTCTGTCTGTGTCTATGCTCCGCTACATTTGGTACTTTGATGGGAGACGCTGACAATTTTTCTCAGCATGAGGGGCGATGTAGAGTTACCCTTTCTGTCAAACTGCTTTAAATGAAGAAAGCATTGCCTAGGGTGTGGGGGCTCCAGCTAGGGGCTGGAGATTAGGGTTTGGTGGTCAAGGGTGTTCTTTGTCCCTGCAGGAAAGCAGGGATTGGTTCCTAGCCCTCACATGGCTGCTCACAGACATCTGGTTTCACCAGTTCAGACACCCTCTTCTGGTCTCTGTGGACACTACATACATGTGGTGCCCATACATACATTCAGGCATGCATACACATAAAATAAATCTTTGAAAAGAGAGGAGGGGAGCATACTAAGTGGATGGCTAGGGCACAGCATTCATCACCCTCTCTGTCTCTGCATAGTTTCTGACAATATCTTTATTATGCATCTGCATTAAATTTTTTTGGCACCTCCAAAATTTTAACATGCCTGACGAGGCTGAACAAATTGAGGTGGTCTCTCAGCCCCCTCTCGAAAGCCATCCTCTTATTGAACATATACTCTAAAGAAAGGATCTTGGTGGGTTTGTGGTAAAGCAGGTACTTGTTCAGGTAACTCTCATCGTACCAGAGGGCCTCAATGTTGTTGGATCTATCTGTTACGATCATCTGGTGGCAGGCTGCCGTGAGCCTGTGTATCTCTGCCACCGATCCCCCAAACAAGGACCCTGTATAATAAAAGTCCCCCTCATCCTTTGGGATGTAAGCCTGTGACTTAGGCCGGCGTTCGTAGCGGAATGCCTCCCGAATGCTCATGTAGAAGCTCAAATGGAGGGTGGCAAACAAAGGAGAGAGGATCTCCACGCCTACGGCATGCTGGAAGGTGACATCCACATCAGAACATACAAGATAAGCCACCTCCTCATAGAAACGCTGCTTGGAATAGATGCTGATGACCTCCATACGCTGCATGGAGTTGTCCTGTGGGCGCTCAAAACTCTGGATCTGGAAGGTGATCACTTTTCGCCCATTACGGAGGGGCATATGAGGAACTGTGTGAGGTTGGTCAGTGAAGACATAGTAATTCACCCTGTGTCCCACCATGAAGAATATATCTGCAGACCTCAGGAACTGCTCCAGGTACACCGTGTAGTTTCTTAAAGCAAACACGGTCAATCCGATGGTGACATTCTGGAGCTGGAACTGCTTATTTAAGATGTTAATGTTGAAAGTCCCTTCCCACACAATCGGGGCAAGCCAACTGGTCAACACAAGGGCATCCTTCCTAGGAGGTATAAGCACACTTGGCTGGGGATATATCAATTTTGTTAATTTCTCTTGCAGCGTGTACTTTCCTTTAGAAACTATGCCCACCCTCATTAGCTCACTTTTGTGAATCTGGCTCTTCTGGTACCAGTAGCCATAACCAAGAATGGCCAAGAGAAGAACAAGGAGAAGAAAAGCCACTTGGCGAAGGGAGAAGTATTGCCTACATGATGTCCACAGTGGCCTGGCCATGGCCCATGTCCGATAGATGGAGACGGGGTCCGTCAATGCTCTCAGCTACCTGCCCCTGCCAAGGGATGGGGTGAAATGCATGATAGCGGGGCCTCCTCCCACTCCTCCTGAGCCCCCTGCCACAGTTCCGGAGGTACCTGGAAGCAGGTGTTCAGGGTCTCCCAGTGGGGGGCCGTTCCAGAGATGTTACCCAAGTCGTTAAGTTCAGCTTTGGTTTCAGGTAATGCCAAAGAATTACTCAGGGGGACCCAGTCGACGGGCAAACAGATCTTCAGGGCCAGAAAGCAGAAGTCAGGGCTCCTGAAAGAGGCTGATGTGGGCACTGGACAGATGAAGGGTGCATTGTGATGAAAGCAAGGCAGGCAGGGCCCCCAAGGGCTCAGAAAGCCTGTGCCCTGGCCGGCCCTTCACCCATCCTTTTACATGAGCCATCGTTTGCGAAGCCTTGGTAAGAGGGGCAGGGAATCTCCAGGTCAAAGGTTACCTTCCATTAGACGCTATTCAAAAGCCCCTCAGGGGTCTAACTTAGGAGGCAGGAAGCCACATGCTGTGTTTAGGGTTAGACTGCCAAATTCGTGTATTAGTTTGATGTCGGAGAAGAAGTGTGTGTGTGTGTGTGTGTGTGTGTGTGTGTGTGTGTGTGCTGGGGGACCCTCCCAACAAAGATGAAGGAAAGCCCCAGAAAGATGGCTCACTAGACCTGGGTGACACCGTCAGGTGGAAAGTAGAAGCCAACTGTCAACTGATGCCAAGCGTGAGCTCTTGAACCCCTGATTTACTGCCGCACATACGTATCTGTTGGGGGTCATTTTATGCCCCGGGTTGCTTTCTCTTGCTGTGATAATGGCCATGACCAAAAACAACACGGTAAGGGAAGGGTTTAATTGGGTTATAGGTTACATGCAGTCCGTCCGTCATCAGGGGAAGCCAGGGCAGGAACCTGGAGGCAGAGCCGAAGCAGAGACCATTGAGGGCTTCTGCTGACTGGTTGTCCCCCCTGCCCTGTTCAGTTTCTTTCCTTATATTCCCAAGACCACCTGTTGTGGGAAGCTACCCTTCATCGGCATGGTGGCGGTGACAGCAGCTTCTCCAAGCCAGGCTTTTTAAAGTGGGTACTGGATCTAGAACTCAGGGACTACTGCTTGCAAGGCAAGCACTCTACTGCCTGAACTACGCTCCAGCCTCCTCACAAGTCGTTTTTCAAATGTGTTTCAGCTGACTCTCAGACAGCACCTACTTGTGCTGGGTGGTTTTATGTCAATGTGACACAAGCTAAAGTCATCTGAGAGGAGGTGACCTGAAGATAATACCTCCACAAGATCAGGCTGTATTGTAGCCTGTAGGCAAGCATTTTCTTAATTAGTGATTGATGGGGGAGGGCCCAGCCCGTTTGGGTGGGGCATCCCTGACCGGAGGTCCTGGGTTCTATGCGAAAGCAGGCTGAGCAAGCCAGTAAGCAGCACCTTCCACGGCCTCTGCATCAGCTCCTGCCTCCAGGTTCCTGTCCTGTTTGGGTTCCTGTCCTGACTTCCCTCAGTGATGAACAGGGCTGTGGAAGTGTGAGCCAAATAAACCCTTTCCTCCCCAAGTTGCTTTGGTCACAGTGTTCTGTGGCAGCACTTGGAACCCTAACCAAGACGGCTCTAGATGCAGAAGGGGAATGTTTACTTGCTTATGTTTGCTACCAACACATCTCCTCTAAGTATGTACTTCATACAAGATAAATCTGGCACAGACCCACAGTAGGACTGACAGAATCTAGGACAGAGATTTCCCGCGGCAGGAAAAGAACACAGCCATTTACAAAAGGAAGCTGACCTGTGACATTTATTCCTGCCTGCTTGTGGAAGAGGTGGCTGGGGGTTCTTAGGTCCCTTTCGGGCACTTCTCAGCACATGGCAAAAAGAAGGTGTAGATAGGGTTGTGTGTGTGTGTGGGAGGGGAATACATTACTATTCTTTAATGGAGCCCAGGCTGGCCTCACACTTGTTGCGCAGCTGAGGATAAACCTGAATGTTCTAACCCTCCCGTCCCCACTTTTATAGGGCTGGGGTCACCGGTGTGCACCACCAGGCCTCCTTTACGCCGGACTGGGGAATGGCTGGCTCCTCCTCAGTGCTCCACCTGGGGAGCACCGCAGAAAGGAGCAGTGGCCTTGAATACTCAGCACACAAAGCCTGGGTACGCCCGAGTTATGGAATGAAAGATGGAAGGTCTTGAGAATCCCAGCGGACTCTGACTATTAGGAAAGGTCCCTGCCAATGCTCTGCAACACTCTCCCTATTCACTGATGTCATTTGCCACGGGTCTTGGTTGCTTTTCTATCGCTGTGACAAAACACCATGCCCAAAGCAACTTCTAAAGGAAAGCATTTAATTTGGGGGCACAGAGTTCTAGAGGGCTGGCGCCTACGACCGTCATGGCAGCAAGCATGGTGGCGGTCAGACAGGCAGGCATAGCACTGAGCAGTCACTAAGAGCTTCCATCTACAAATAAGACAGAGAACAAGCACACTGGGAATGGTGTTGGCTTCTGAAACCTCAACGTTCCATCCCCAGTGAGACTTCCCCTCCAACGAGGCCACGCCTCCCAACCCTTCCCAAACAGTTCCATCAACTGGGGACCAACTATTCAAGCATACGACATTCCCATTCAACCCACCATAGCATGCTTCTCTATCAGTCATGGACCCACCTGGCCTCAGGAGATCGTACACCCACAAACGCCTGCACCACACATGTCAACTGGAGAAGATGGCTCCCTGGACAGTACCAAGGAGACAGCAAGCACTTCCCAGTGCTAGGAGACAGGGACCTCAGCTCATGCTTCCCTCGTGATACTGACGATCACCATGGCTGTCCTCTCCTGAAGCCAACACGAAGAACTCAGAGCATTCAGCCACACTTGGGGCCCATGACGCATAGGAACACCGGACCTACAGAGCCCAGGGTAACAATGCATGCGAGACTCTGTGGGAAGGCAGTGATGGGCATTTCTCTGAAATGACGTACAGCACAGTCATAAACATGAGAAACCACTAAGCTGGATATGCTGGTGCAGTCCTGCAACACCAGCCCCCAGGAGGGGCACTGATGGGGTTTGAGGCCAGCCTGGGCTACATTGTGAGGCCCCGTGGTGATCTGAATGGGAAGTTCATACACCTGAATGCTTGGCCATCGGGAGTGGCGCTACGTGGAAAGGATTGGGAGGTGTTGCCAGTCGGGTGGGCTTTGAGGTTTCAAGAGCCCAAGCCAGGCCTCTGTCTCTCTCTTCCTGCTGCCTCACGTCCGGGTGAAGAACCCTCAGCCACCCCACCAGCACCATGGCTGCCTGTGTGCCTCCAGACGCCCTGCATTGATGATGATGACCTGGACCTCTGAAATCGTAAGCAAGCCCCAGTTAAATGCTGTCTCTTATCAGAGTTGCCATTGGCCGCGGTGTCTCTTCACAGCAACAGAACACTGACTAAGACAGATTCTATCTCAAAATAAATAAATAAATAAAGGAAATACTGTAACTGAGCAAGTCGACCCATTGGTAATGAATAAATAAATGAAAGAACATCATTTTGTCTTACTTGTTTTTATTTAAAACATTATCATAGTTACTTTGTGTGTGCACGCATGCGTGTGTGTATGCGCACGCATGCGTGTGTGCATGTGTGTGTGCGCACACGTGTACCCACAGAGGCCATAAGGATCCCTGGAACCTGAGTTACAGGCATTTGAGAGCCTTCCAATGTGAGTGCTGGGAACCAAACTCAGGTCTTCTGCGAGAGCAGTCTTGCTCATCACAAGTGTGTAGCTAGATCTAAGGCTGAGCACACACCGGGCAACAGGTTGGGAGGTCTGGGTGATGAAGAAACCAATGCCAGCCCTTCATCTCCTGGACTATACCTCACTTAGGCTTTGGGACAAGCATGAGTCACATCCCTATATGATCTGCATTTAGTTGCTTTTGTGGTCCCTGTGAACAGCTACTTAACACACTGTCCAAGACCTGCCCTTCATTGCGCTCATCACCACATCTCTTCCAGCACAAGCTTTAGGTGTGATATTAAATTCAGTGGTGTGTTTTTCTCTTTAAACTGTACATTTTCTATTTCTTTTGGTGAGGAAAAGTACATGATCTTATGGTCCGCACCTTTCTGGCCCAGTACTCAAGGGAGGTAGTAATGGAGTTGCCTCCATCTAGACAGAGATCCTATTTCTATATTCCTACATCTGTAAGATATTCATCTCTGGGAAAATACAACCTGAGACAGACAAACACCCCTGATTTCCTGCCCAGCTCAGCTTTAGTGGGAGTCCATGATAGTAAACACCACACGGCGAAGGGAGGTGTACCCACAACAGAAGGAGGAGCAGGAATAATCTTCACGAGACTGTGTTACACCCCTGTGGCCTTTGCTGTGAAAGCCAGATTCCGGGAGCAGTCACTGGCCATGGCTGTGGGATGCTTGCCACCCTCAGCTGGCCTGTGACAGAGATGCCTATAAAACCATTTCTCTTTTATGGCTCTATAATAGATTGCCACACATATAACAGATTAAGACGGCACCCGTTTATTTATTTATTTATTTATGCATTTATTTTTATCTGTGTGGGGGGGATGCATACCATGTGCACCTCTAAAGCTCAGAAAAGCAACACCCATTTAGCATCTAACAGCTTGTTGTTGTTTGGTTTTTGTCCTGCTACTGTTACTTTATTTTCTCGTGTGAAAATAAACCTGGAGTTTAAATTATTCCCAAGACCATAAAAATGAAGTGAAATACACACAGGATAAGCATGTGATGGGATGATGGGGTGATGGGATGAAGGGGAGGGAGGGACAGATTGTCCTAGCACAGACCAAGCTGACAAGTTGGGATGGGTCAGGGGGACTGGAGAGATGGCTCAGTGGCTAAGGGCACTCGCTGCTCTTCCTGTAGATCTGGGTTTGGGTCCCTGCACCCATATGATGACTCACAGCCACCTGCAACTCCAGCTTCA